TCTTTTTCATGAGTTACCTGTCTATAAGGAATTATAATCCAGTTCAGTTCTTTTTTCATATTCAGTTTATTTAGTGCTCTCTTTTGTTCCTTCCATTATCTGAGTTAGTAGCGTTCTTAGTGTGCTTGCGGTTTCTGATCTATTCTGATCTATTTCTCTTGGGTTCATCAGCACACTGGCCTGTAATGATCTCCTCCAGTTTCTAGTCTAACAATAGGTGCTTATTTTAACAGGGAAATGATTATATTCTGTTTTGTTATCTTCTATCAGAAATGATGTGTCTCTGCTTTGAGAACATCATGCTGTTGATCAACAGAAATCTTTTCCACGTGTACTCCAAGATATAGTTCTCTCCTATAGAGATGTTGCTTTTGTAAAGTTTTCTATTAAACTTTCATCTACACTTATGTCAGGCAACGATATACATCCTATGTGTGCAATACCATATGCTCATGTATTCTTTTTTTATATTAAAGATGTGGGGTACAATTCAGGATTAGGTATATACTGATTATCATATAAGTAACATTTGGGCCTCTCTTTGGTTCCCACTTTCCCCAGTTTGAGATCAGGTACCCTTGTTGATGTCAGCCCCACCCCCGCCCCTGCCCAGGCAGTATCCCGCTACTGCCAATCCCTTTCTTATAGTATTATGGTAAATATTCAGGGTCTGCTTTTGAGTGAGAACATGTGGTAATCATTTCTTTGTTTCTGTGATAAATCATTGAGTGTGATAGACTCTAAACCCATCCACGTTGCTGCGAAGTTCAAATGTTTGTCCTTCTTTATGGCTGTGTAATTTTCCATTGTGTATATGTACCACATTTTTTTTAGCCAGTTCAGTTTAGATGGGCAGCATGGTTGGTTCCATGTTTTTGCTATTGTGAGCAGAGTTGCAATAAACAGGTGTGTGCAGCTATCTTTTTTGTAGAATGATTTGAGTTCCGCCAGGTATATTTCCAATAGGGGGATTGCTGGGTCATATGGAAGGTCAATTTCTAGTTCTTTCAGAAATTGCAACACTGTTTTCCCAAGAAGTTACACCAGTTTGTATTCCCACCAGCAGTGTAGAAGCATTCCTTTTCCCCACATCATTGCCAGCATCTGTTGTTGCTAGTTTTATTAATGATGACATTTCTTACTGGAGTTTGATGGTATTTCAGTGTGATTTTGATTTGCATTTCTCTGATGATTAGTGAGGCTGAGCACTTTTTCATGTGTCCAATGCGTAACTGTATATCTTCTTTTGAGAAGTGTCTATTTATGTTTTTGCCCAATTTTTAATGGTGCTGTTTGTCCATATAATCTTGATTCCCTAATAACTCTCTTACATCTCTACAATTCTTCCATACTTTAGCTATTAAGCTATTATCTAAGGGTGGCCATTTTCTATGTCTATTTCATAATGATTGTCAACTCCCTATGCCTATATGACGTCTAAATTTAACTTATTTTCTAATGCTAACACTTCTATTCTCTTTAAATCTGTTATTAGTACCATATGTTTTACCAACACTTTAAAAAATCTCTGGACAGGATTTAGGTATCTTGCTTTCAAGTCTGACATTTCTCTTATCATAAATTTCTTAGTGATCATAGCTGATCATTCTTCTTTCCTCATGCTATTATTTTAGTCATTTAATCCTCAGTGTGGATTGGTTCATGAAATACAGACAAACTTTCTTTCTGTTCTTTTATTATTCAAAGTCCAAAGAGCACTACTCCAAGGGTTAAGAAGCATAGAATTACGTACCACTCTCATGGAGATATGCTCAGATAAATAAAAGCTACATAAAATGAATCCTGGGGGAGCAAAGACAAGGACAGTAATTCATTCCTAATACAGTGAACACCAAATACACACACACACACACACACACACACACACAACTGAATCAGCTTGAGGGTTATGAATTATGGGTGTTATAATTTTTAAACTATCCACATTCACACTGTTGCCAATGTTAAAATCAGAAACATAAAAGAAATTACAATCTTATTTTATGGACAGTTGGATAGACCTAATCATTTTTACCACATAGCAGGAATGGTGCTTACTACACAAGTCCCTTTTGAGAGCTAATGCAGGAGAAGATTTTTCTTCTGTTGGCAAGCCCACATTAAAAGGTAGGGCCAAACAATGGCAGAAGAGCAAGCTGAGTGGCTACTTTTGGGAGTTCACAAGAGGGAGGAATGATGAAGGAGGTAGTTCAGGACTAACAAATAGCCCAGGTGTTTCTTAACTTCTTTAGGCACTTATATTGGCTCTTAATACCAGTTTCTAAATGTCCTTTACTGGATCAAACTGCCATTACCAGAGGCTTTAATTTGATGGAGTCCCTAATTCCAGTGCCTGGTAGCCTATGAAAATGGATCTGCTAAGGATACATCCACAGTCTATGGTTATGCATACGTATCTTCAAGAAGCTCTAACCTAGAATGCTGCATTTCCCCCAAGGAGCCAGCAGTTAGATACTAGGTTACCACCAACGTAGTACTATCAATAAGGCACACAATGGGCAAAATAGGCTTTTGTGCACTTAGCCACTGTTTGCTATGCCATTTCTGGAAAAAGTAGAGAATTCACAACAGCCAATTAATGTCATGTCATACAATCCATTTCTAAACTGGAGACAGCTTGTATAACCTTCCCATTGCATATACAGCAACTTGTCATATGAATAAAATGATAAATAGAGAGAAGTAACTTCAGTCAAAAAATTCTGGCAAATATCATCTCAATTAGGTAATCAAGGTTAGTATCAGTGACCATTCATTCTGACAACAGCACATACTCCATACTCTTGACAGGATGAGAATGACATTTACTGCTGTATAATCTTCCTGCTAAGAACTTATTGACATTAGACTATTTTTTTAAAAATGTATTAGACAAATCACAACTGAGAGACATTCTACAAAATACTTGACAAGAACTCCTCAAATTATTAAGATAATCAAAAACAGGGGAGGTCAGAAAAATTGCCACACACCAGTGGAGTTTAAGGAGACATGAAAGTTAAAGGCAATATGGTATCCTGATGAAACTGTAGGGGTGTAAAGGGTCTGATGTCTTTCCTCCTTTATGAGAGACGGTCATAACAGAAGGATAAAGAGAGAAAAACAAGTTTGATCAGTTTTATGTGACATGGGAGACTTCCAACTGAATACTCAAAGACCTATAGTGAACTATAGTGTGAAGCATGAATGGGCAGAAAAATGACTGAACAAAGAGTATGGGCTAATAGCAGTAGATTGAAGGGCCTGTGGAATGCCAGCAATGCCTGTGTGTTCAGACTCTTCTTGGCCTGTTTAGCATTACTTCCTTCAGGAATAGGGCAGGATCTTCTCTGGAATGGAGTTCCTATGACCTACAATCAAACGAGGTAGGATAGAGAATTTCTTTATGGTCAGTTCTTAAACAGAAAGGCAGGGAAAAGTTAAGAGTAGCATTTCCAGGTTTTTATGACTCGCATTGGGGAACAGTGGTCCTGGTGTTTACGACCACCTTGGAGAAGAGGTATCCTTGTTTCTATGGTTTGTTTTGGGGGAAAGTGAGGATGAGGAACAGAAGGGCGGAGAAAGTCACTTTGGGTATCATTTCCTAAGCCCCAATAGAAAGAAGAAGACTATAAAAGAACATTAGGGAAAAATTGGTGGAATTTGAAAAAACATGGTTAGTTAACAATGTATGAATGTTAGTTATGAAGAAGGTTCCACAGCAATGTTAATGGGGACACTAGGGGAGGAGTGCAGAGCAATTATTATTGTAACTTTTCTGTAAATCCATTCCAAACTAAAAATTTTAAGAGTATCCCAGGTTAACTTCCTTTTTATTGATACTTTTCTGAAAATTAAGCATGCAAAAGGGTTGCTTTTCAGCTCTCACTTTCCTTTCAGCACTGAGCAATAAGATCAAGTTGCATCAAGGTGTCAGTGATGAAAAAGGAGAAAACAGATTCCATAGCTGCTGGCAGCTTTTGACTAAGAGCAACGATCCAGTCTATGATGTGTCAGCCATGGTGGTATGATACAACCCTTATCCAATGATGGGCTCTTACTTCATCCAACGATGGGCTTTTGTCTTTGGCAGTGATGCCACTAAACTAACTGATAACAACTTCGTGTCAAAGAAATACCTAATTTCCAATGAATGCTAATGATACAATTTTTCCTATCATTATTCCTTCATACAATATAAGGGATAGGGACTCGATAAATTTTTCTCAGGGATTCAACTGATTTGTTGTCCTCATGCTGAACCTATCAGATCAATTTCAGGGTTGAAATTTTTAGTGATTCAGGTTTTAAACGTGACTGTTTATTCTCTTCTCTGTACTGAGCAAACCATGTAGGCGAAAATGATGGCAGCTTCACCAAGTGTTTTCTTGACTAAGACTACTAATTTTTGTCTTACCAAAAGTGAGTCTGCTTTCCAGTACGAGTGCTGTGCTCTTGTCATGAAGTAGCCCTTTTCATTCCAACTCCAAAATCTGCTGTCTTAGCTTGGCAGGAACACCACTAACTTGGAAAGCACAGTGTAAGCAGGCATCATGATACTGGAAAACAAGATCCTAGGCAAGAGGCTGAGGCAGTACGCATTCAAGGGCTTGAGGGGATGACTTGTTTTATAAAGATTCAGTGCAAAATGAATCACTAGAGTAGGATAAACTTAATGTCCTCTATACCCTTTCCCCCCAAAAGTATGCAAGAATCAATACCACCACCAACACCTCCAGTGCACATGTGTGCACGCACACACACATATACACACAAGAATGCTTGGGAAATCTCAGGGATATCAAAGGTTTTATAAAAACAGGGCAAGTCATATTCAGACATAACAGGTGGGCAAAAACCTAACAGCAAGTTGAAGGAAACTAAGAGGGCACAGTTGCCCAGAAAAGTAAGTAGACATGCCAAAGCAGGTTTGGCTCCCACTCAAGTTCACCAGTAAGAATTCATGTTTACAGTCTCATACAGACTTTCACATCAATTAGTGACTTTTCATAAATATTTATTGGTGTTATCCACAGAATTTAAGCTATTCCTCCATTTAAAAAACTTCACATTCTACAGTGAGTTTGTGTATAGGAATTTGTTCTTTTTTTCTATAAAATTTTTGATAGTACATCCAAACATAAGTTTTTGTAGGTGAAGATTTTATTTTTTTCAATTCTGAAACTGACACTTTCTCAGGAAATAAATTTCTAAAAACAAACATTCAATATTTGTTAAAAATCATTTATTCAAAATATAAAATTTTATCCTAATTATTTGATGTTTAATGCAATTAATTTTGTTGTGAAGGCTTTTGTGTTTTTCCAAAATATCTCTGACTTTAATGAAGGCTTCTCATCATTCAGGATGTTGACAATTTTCTTCTTCATGTGAAGTCTCCGATATACAATAAAACTGAATTATTATAGTTCTGAAATGTATTATGTTAGTACGATTTCATCCCAGTCTAATAGGGAGACAGCAAAACAATGCATTTAACTAATAGGTCAAATCTGAGAGCTCATAATACTTGCTTGAAAAACAAACAACTGATGAAGATGTGGAAGCAGAGAATTATATTTCAAACATTTACTCAGATTCTAGCTTCTTTTGACCTTGTGCTGCACCACATTCAACACACAAAAGCCAACTTGCTGTGGAAATCATCTCAATCCCATCTTGCCATAGACCAGGGAGACTATGCTTAAGGGCCAGGACAAAATGTAATAGATATCATTAGCATCATATTCTCTGGTCAGCCCACCTGGATGAATGAGATCGGGATTTTCAACAAGATATGAGCCTAGTGGAAAATGTTAGGGAAAACAACTTTCCAGTCTACATGACAAGAGTTTCTCTGCTGTGTGGTATAAAGTAAGGCATGAGTTAATTCAGGACTTCTCAAATTCATGATGTGTTAGGGTTTTCTCTCTGGTATGCATTCTGATGTGATGTACTCTAAGAGCTGCCTTACGAACAAAAATGTTCCCACATTCACCACATTCATAGGGTTTCTCCCCTGTGTGAATTCTCTGGTGTACTCTGAGAGTTGAAAAGTGGGCAAAAGCTTTCCCACATTCATTACATTCATAGGGTTTCTCCCCCTGTGTGAGTCTTCTGGTGTGCACTAAGGTATGACATCTGGGAGAATGTTTTCCCACATTCATCACATCCATAGGATTTCACACCTGTGTGAATTCTCTGATGCACTTTAAGGGATGAGCTAAGGGCAAATGGTTTCCCACAAATATTACATTCATAGGGTTTCTCCCCTGTGTGAGTCCTCTGGTGTGCACTAAGGTTTGACTTCTGGGAGAAACTTTTTCCACATTCATTACATTCATAGGGTTTCTCCCCTGTGTGAGTCCTCTGGTGTGACATAAGGTGTGACTTCTGGGAGAAAGTTTTCCCACATTCATTGCAACAATAGGATTTCACACCTGTGTGAATTCTCTGATGCACTTTAAGGGATGAGTCAAAGGCAAATGGTTTTCCACAAATATTACATTCATAGGGTTTCTCTCCTGTGTGAACTCTCTGATGTGCACTAACATATGACTTCTCAGTGAAAGTTTTTCCACATTCATTACATTCATAGGGTTTCTCCCCTGTGTGAATTTTCTGATGTGCTCTAAGCGCTGAATTACGGGTAAAAGTTTTGTCACATTCATTACATTCATAAGGTTTCTCCCCTGTGTGAATTCTCTGATGTACTCTGAGGGCTGTATTATGGGTAAAAGTTTTCTCACATTCATTACATTCATAGGGTTTCTCCCCTGTGTGAATTCTCTGATGTGCTCTTAGACCTGAACTGAAGGTAAAAGATCGCCCACAATCATTACAGTCATAGGGTTTCTCACCTGTATGAATACTTTGATGTGCTTTGAGAACAGAAATACGGGCAAAAGCCCTTCCACATTCTTTACATTCATAAGGTTTCTCCCCTGTGTGAATTCTCTGATGTGCTCTGAGTGCTGAATTATAGGCAAAAGTTTTCTCACAGTCAGTACATACATAGGGTTTCTCACCTGTGTGAATTCTCTGATGTGCTTTTAGGGCTGAATTACAGGTAAAAGATTTTCCACATTCAGTACATTCATAGGGTTTCTCTCCTGTGTGGATTCTCTGATGTGCATTGAGGTGTGTCTTGTGAGAGAAAGTTTTCTCACATTCAATACATTCATAGGGTTTGTCACCTGTGTGAATTCTCTGATGTGCTCTGAGATGTGATGATGTGAAGAAAGTTTTCCCACATCCAATACATTCATAAGGTTTCTCCTCAGTGGGAATTCTCCAATGTTCTTTAAGACATGCCATCTTGAAGAATATTTTCCCACATTCACTGGCTTCACAGAGTTTCATCTTTGTTTCTATTCTCTGATGTCCTATAATGGGTGACCTGTAAGATTTCCCACAGTCATTGTTACCATAAGTTTTTTCCTTAGTGTGAATTCTCACATGTTCACTAAGGTTTGACTTCTGACAGAAAGTTTTCCCACATTCATTACATTCATAATGTTTGAATCCCACATGAGCTCCAGAATGCTGAATAGAGTGTGAACTTGTACAAAATGATTTCCCACATTCTTCGTATTGAAGTTTCTCCCCTGAATGGGTCCTCTGATACTGAATGAGGTATCCTTTCTGCTCTTCTTTACTCAAGGTTTTATCATTGTCATCAATGAATATTACTTGACACAGAGACTTCTTTTGTTTTTCCTGGATCTCTTGTATGTTGTCATCAATTTTATGATATCCTAAAATGAAAAAAATTGAAAACGTATTATAAATCTTACACTTTTCATGGAGAGGGACTTGTACCCATGTTTTGTTATGTATTTTATTTTATTTTTTCTGGTCATGTTTCCAAAGACTGAAAATATGCACAGACAGATTCTCTTTCTTGTTCCTCATCTATAATGTTTAAAGAAATAGGTATTATTTTCATCCAAGATGGAGTAGGCCTTTTCCTCCCAGATCTTCCTTCTTACAATTAAAAATCCTGGCAAGAAAAAAAAAGATGAACAAACATACAAAGACTCTACAAAATAGAAAAATATGAACCTCAGGACTTAAGAAATGACACAGCAGAGAATTCCAAAGCTTTTCTTTCTGCTTCCCATATATCCTAGACAGAGTGCTAAAGCAACCTACAATCTGGAGCCAGCAACAAAAAGAGCTCCAAGAAAAAAAATCCTGTTTCTTCTAGCCAAAAGTAATTTAACAGAACCGAAAACATGTTTGACATCATCCACATATTCATGCAAAACAAAAATGGAATGCTTCTGTGGTTCCATGAAGGTTGACCAAGAAGCTAACCTTCCACTGCAACGGATACAGATGATCTGTGTGCTCTTGTAATATTTCCCTCCATGATCCAAATGGGGAGCTCACAGGAAAGATCATAAAGGATCCTGAGAAAGTTCCAGTTTCGGGATATGCTGGAAGACGTAACAGGAGCTGCTGCCAAAATTCTGCCTAGAAATATATTCTTATTGGCCACGCTCGGTAGCTTAGCTGTAATCCCAGCACTTTGGGAGGCTGAGGCACGTGGATTGCCTGAGCCCGCAGGTTTGAGACTAGCCCGGGCAACTTGGCGAGACCTCGTTTTACAATAAATTAAAAATTAGTTGGATGTGGTAATGCCTGTAGTTTCGGCTACTTGGAAAGCTAAGGTGGAAGGATTGTCGGGGCCTAGTAGGTCAACACTGGGGTGGCCTGGACGATTGACTGAGACTCCAAATCAAAAAAAAAAAAAAGAAATATATTCTTATCTAATTTATGGAACAAATATATTCATCTGCAAGGGCAAGAACAACAAATCTGTTTTACGGCACTAGCAGGCACTCATAGCAGCTAGAGGAAGAAAAGCAGCACAGAAACATGAGGCAGGAATACCTGGTAGGCCCAATTATAGGGATAAGAGATAAAGTAGCTCTTGTGATAACCACATCTTCAAACTCAAGGACACAGTGCTTTCAATAACAGCTAAATTCACATTTTCTCAAATGCACATGGAATTTTCAGCAAAATAGAATGCATTCTTGGCTGTCAGACAAATCTTGGCTGTTAGACAAATGCATTCTTGGCTGTTAGACAAATACAGAAGAACAGAAATCATACAAAAGATGTTCTTGAGCTTCAGAGAAGCTATACTAGAAATTAATAAACACTTTTTTACTTGGAGATATACAAAATATTTATAAATGATATTCTTCTAATATACCCATGGGGTGAAGAAGGTTCAAATAAGATATTTTGAAGTCTATGAAAACAACACAAAAATACAGAAATTTCTGAATGCAACTAAAGCAGTGCTCAGACATAAATATGTGGTTTAAAATTTTTATATTTGAAAAGAAAGATCTGCGGATACTTAAGTTCCTACCTAAACAAACTAGACAAAGAGAGACAATTAAATCTAAAGATAGTAATGGAAGAAAAACAGTAAATATTAGAAAATAAATCTGAAAAAAGAAAACAGCACAGAAAATCAAACCAAAGCTTAGTTATTTAAAAAGATTTTTTTTCAATGATAAGCAGGGAAAAAAAAGTCACAAATTAGCAATATCAGAAATGCAAGAGGGGAAATTACTGACACAACAGACATTCAACAGATAAGAAAACAACATGGGTGAATATAACAAATTAAGGTGGCTTAAAAAACAAATATTTATTTTTCTCAGTTCTAGAGGCTGGAAGTCTCAGAAGAGGGTTCCAACACAGTTGCATTCTTGTGAGTGACCTGTTTGGGTTATAGGCTATTCTTGTAATAGCCTCACATGCTGGAAAGTAAGCTAGCTAGTCATGGTATCTTCTTGTGAGGGCATTTTAATCTATCTTTTTTTTAACCAGAAAAGCAAATAACTGTATTTGAACACTCTAGAAAGAAGCAGTAGGAGAATATGGACTGTAACCAGAGCGTGTTTTTTGGATTCTTAGAACTTTATTCCTTTGTTTTAGAACACCGATATCATATTATTTGTTTCAGTAATTCAAATCCTTAAATGTTTTCTTTTACCTGTGATCTCAGGCTAGACTTTAATGTACTTATTATCTGAATTCAAACCTGAATGATAACAGAACATGAAATCTAAATTATTTTACTTTTATTGACTAACAACTTTAGCATTCTTCTATAACAATGTTTCCAAGTTTTGTATTTAGAGATAGCTTATTTAGCCAGTCAATATGCTCTAATCATTTACATATAGTGACTGGGAGATATGCTTGATCTATATTATGTCAATCTTTATGTAACGCCATTTGTTACCATGGCTCACAACAAAAACTTTCAATAAATGTACATCACTTATAATAATTTAGATGATTTTACTTTTTCTTCTAGGAATTTTATTGAAAACTATAACTTTTTTAAATTTCTGGAATCATTTATTAGTATAGACAAAGGCTAAGGTGCATATGAAAAGATGTTTGACATCATTATTGACAAAGAAACTGTTATGGACTGTGTCCCATTCCCAAATTCATATGTTGAAGAACTAACCTCCAGTAATACTGTATTTGGAGACAAGGCCTTTAAGAGGTAATCCAGGTTAAAAGGAGGTCATAAGGATGAAGCCTTTATCCAGTAGCACTGATGTCCTTAGAAGAAAGGGAAAAAACACCAGGGTGCTCTCTCTCTCCCTTAGTGGATACGCACAGGGGAAAGGTCATGTGAGAAAACAGCAAGAAACGTGGCTTTCTGCAAGCCAGGATAGAGAGGCCTCACGATAAACCAACTTACTGGCATCCTGATCTTAGACTTTCAGCCTCCAGAACTGAGTAAATTTCTGTTGTTTAATCCACTCCGTCTGTGGTATTTTGTTATGACAGCCCTAGCTGCCTAATAAAGAAAAACAAATCAAAATCACAAGGAAATACCACTTCACATTCACCAGGATGCCTGGAATCAAACAAATGATGGTAAGAATATGGAAAAATCAGAATCCCTATGGGCTGTTGTTAGGAACAGAAAATGGTGATGTCACTTAGAAAAACAGCCTGGCAGTTCCTTAATCAGATAAACGGAGGCACCACACGACCCAGAATTTCATGCCTAGGCATAAAAACATATGTCCATGCAAAAACTTGTAAATGAATGTTCATATCAGCATTATCCATAATAGCCAAAAGGTGGTAGTCCAAGTATCTACTGACTGATGAGTGGAAACACAGGCAGTATATCCAAACAATGAAATAGGATCTGGCCATAAAAAGGATGAAACACTGACATATGCTATAACATGAACCTTTTAAACATTAAGTTATGCAAAAGAAGCCAATCACAAATGATCACATATTATATGATTCCATTTATACAAA